AGGGGGCGGTATAAAAATTAAAATAAATAAATAAATAAATAATAAATAAATAAATAAATAAATAAATAAATAAATAATAAGAGAGATTAAAAAGATTTTTGAATGAATTTATACATTCAGATCAGAATGGATTCTTACCTAAGAGAAAAATAATGAGAGTCATCTTGAATTCACTGGAGCATTATGAAAAACATTATGAAAAACAAATGGCGCTGATCTTTTTAGATGCACAAAAAGCTTTTGACACCATAAATTGGCAATTCATGTTATTACAATGAAAATATATGGACTTTGGTGAAAAATTTACTAATATGATTTAAGGCAATATACTCCAAAAAGACTGCAAAGGTGATGGTTAATGGGGACATGATAGAAAACTTTAAACAAAGGCACAAGGCAAGGATGCCCACTGTCCCCTTTACTATTTATATTGATGTTGGAAGTATTAAATAGAAATATTAGGCAAGATATAGAAATAAAAGGTATGCAAATAAACAAAGAAAAACCAAAATATTAGCTAAAAATCTTACAGATAAACAGAAAAAAGACAGAAGAAAACAGGCATCCAGATAATTAAGAAAGTAAAATATTTAGGAATTCAATTAACAGCAAGATGTGCTACTATTAAAGAAGACAATTACACTAAGCTGCAACAAATCAAATCAGACTTGGAGAAGTGGAAAAAATTACAACTATCCTTGATAGGAAGAATAGCTACTATAAAAATGAATATTTTGCCAAGATTACTGTGTTCTAAACAATACTGATAAAGCTGGAAAAAAATATTTTGAGGAATTAAATAAAACAATGTCAAAATACATTTGACAAGGGAAAAACCCAAGAATGAGTCTGAAAATGTTACAAGGTTCCAAAAACAAAAGGGGTTTTGAGTTGCCAGATTGGGAGTTGTATTATCAGGTCTCTGTACTTACATGAATGAAAGAATGGATAAATCTGAGACACAGACGATTATTAAAATTGGAAGGATATGTTCTTCAAATAGGGTGGCACGCTTTTTTATGGTGTGGGAAGAATAAAATACATAGATATTTTCAAAGATATTATGTTAGAAATGCACTATCGTTAGTGTGGGCAAAAATTAAAGAAAAACATTATTTGAAAATACCAGTCTGGCCCTCCACGATGGAGGCACTGATACATCCAAATATTTTTATCATGGAAAATATTACAAGGTATAAGGGCATCTTGAATGAAAAAGGGGAACTTAAAACTAAGCAAGAATTGAACAGTCAAAGGATTGACTTAGCATGGTGGTCACGTGCAGTACAATCAAGATATGAGAAAGATGCTAAAATGGCTAGCTTCTATAAAGAACCAACAGAACTAGACCAGGTATTAACAGTGACCGATGAAAAACTAATTTTAAAAAATCTATAGTTAGTTACTGAGCATTAAAATGGAAGAAGAGCAAGTAAAAGAAACTGATAGTATGGGCTAAGAATTTTGGTTATACTATAGAAGTTAGATAAATGGCAGATACTGTGGGACAGGAATTATAAATTAACAATGTCAACTGCATACAAAGAAAATTTATAAAAAATGTTTTATAGATGGAATTTTCTGCCAGCAAGATTAGCAAAGATGTTTAAGGATATGTCCGCTAAGTGTTCGAAATGTAATCAGATACCGGGTTCATATTATCACATGGTGGACATACCCAAAGTCCAAAAAATCAGACAAAAATACGGCTAGATATGGCTAGAAAAAATAGTAAAGCAACATATAGATCTAAAGCCACAAATATTTCTGTTAGGTATTTTACCAGAAAAATATAATAAAGGGAATACATATTTAATTTTATATGTGTTAACAGCAGCCAGAATTGTGTTTGCACAACAATGGAAAAATGAAGAGATCCCTACAGATGAAATTGTAATAAAAAAAAATATTAGAATGTGCAGAAATGAATAGATTAACACTTAAGAAGGAAGAAACTGAATATTTTTTAACATGGGATTTGTTTTATCAATGGTTAAATAGCAGAAACAGAAGTTAGAAACTTAAAAGCGTAAGAGAAGAATTAATTACAATGAAGATGTACTAAAATGGATAAGTAAATATTATTATTATGTTTATTATTGATGTTAAGAATATTATTGTTACTATTACCATTACTATATCTCAAAGACAATTGTACTCAGACAGCACATTGTTTATGTAGATACTATTTTTTTATGTTTTACATTATTAAAAAATAAAGAACCTTATATATATATAAAAGATTAAGAGATTATTGGATTTGGAAAGCCATGAATTGAAGTTTGGACAGCATACCTATCTATATGATAAAGTTAAAATGAATGCGGATTTCAAGGATCACTTTATTAGGTATGCCATTTATACAATTTGGAATAAATACAAAGAAAAGGTTTTTCTAAAATATCTCTGGATGTTACCCAAACATTTTTTTTAGAAAGGGAATGATAGTGAGTTACAATTGGTGAATTTATACTGAATAATATCCTTTGTTCAAAATTAATCACTTCTCAAATCAAAAGAAGACTTGGAACTAGAGGGTTGTAACTATCATTGGTTTACCTATCTACAATTAAAAGAAAGGTTTACTCTGGATTTAAAAAAATGTGGTAAAATATATACAAATATATTTTAGTGCTCTCTCTAAATTAACACCAAACACAGCAGTACTTATATCACATACTCAAACATAGACACACATACCACCTTCACATTTATCTTGCCAATACATTGATATAAAGTCCAAGTTCAAATAGCAAGTATCAAAAAATACAGTGGCGTTTAACAGTGACCAATTCTCTTTTATGTCTAGTTGTCATCTGTTGACCACAGCATCACACTCATCACTGAGTTTTCTCTGTAGGCATGCCACTCCAAATGATGTAGAGACTAGTGGGAAAACATATTAAATCATCCCATGTGGAGAACTTTTAAGGGATGCTAAAAACCTGGTCACTGACTTTCCTGAGGAGCAGGTTCTTAGCTGTTCCCCAGATCATTATCAGGGATCATTTAAAAACTCAGGAATAATACCAACAATAAATTGTGAAGAATCTCAGTCCCCCACCTTTTTTTTTCTCTAGATCTGGATTTCTGGATTAATTTGTGCTATGCAGAGTTTGAATCGAAATCTGTTTATTATAGAGAAGAATTACAAATAATGGCCATAATTTTTGGTGATTATTTTTACTTTAAGGTTTACTTTAACTAGATGCCTCATTGTCTTAGAAATCTTTATGCCTGTCATGATTTCTGCATATACATCTTTCTTAGTGAGTGTTTTAAACAATTTCTTGAGAGACTATAATGTCATTATATAGAACTATGGGGGCAACCATTTCCATTCAATGTTATCTTCAGTACATTTTTACTTTTCATTTCACTATGCTTAAAACAGGATATTGAATTCCTATGTTTTAAGGGTTAAAAGTGATCTGAAATGTTGCCTTCCAGAACATGTGCAAGGGCAAAGCACAGTTACCATGGAGACTGCTAGAATAATGTGTTTCCTGTCTTTCTCTTCCATTCTGATAGTAACATACTCCTGCATATAAAATGCTTAGAGCCATATACCATTGGATGATTATCTGAAGGAAACATTTTTTTCATTTTTGGATACACATTAAAATTGATATCAAATCCCATAACAGTATAAATATGGTTAAGTGATACAGAATTAATACTGATACAAAGTCAATAATTTTCAAACATTTTTTCAGCAGCACGTTTTTAAACATTCCTTTCTAAATCTAAAGTCACAATTTTAAAACACATTTTGCCAAACATAATAGGAATGTGTAGTTTTATTCTAGAATGATGTGGAATCTTTCTAGGGTGAAGCATATAGGAATTTCAAGAGTTCCATTAACAGGGTGAAAACCATAACTGAAAAAGATTTCAGAGAAAGAGTGTGTATGTCTGTGTCTGTGTGCACAGGCACACAGGCTTTATACAATTCTGTATCGGCCTCGCCCATCTTGTATATGATGAGAAACTACAGGTTGTTTTTTTTTTCATTTCATTTATGATCCTGCCAAAAATATTTTTTTTCTATAATTGAGTAGTGAAATGTTCACATGATATTTAGAATACTAAGTTTTTAGAATATGGATGTAATTTGAAATAAAAAACTAAAGCATCAGGGAACAAACTGGAAAGAAATGTTATAAACCAGATGATACTTTCATCTGGTATCATATACCAGAAGATCTTTTAAGAAAATTATACCCTATCAGATAATCACAAAATAGAGTATGTAAATATTTGGGCATGGGAATGAATTTATTTCTGTGAAGAATTTTTCACCTTTTCATCTAGCAGTGACTACCAGCAGATGATGTCACCTTGCAGCTGATTGGCTATTTAAGTACCTAGTGCAGGCAAGAGACAGAAGGATGCCGGCACAAATCTCTGTGGTGAATCTGTGGTGTTTTTTCTCAGTTTTGTATGGAATATTTTGATAAATATTGAGATTATTCAACTATACGGCCATGTGAGCAAGTGGGAATATTTTAGGGCAAGGGCCGTTGAAGAGCTGTCAGAGGAATGAGGCGGCTGATCTGTAAACGGATCTGTGATTGTAAGTGTTAAAATCAGGGTGGAAAGAATTAGCAGGGAGTGTTCGTAGACATTGTAGAAGGATTGTAGCAGAAATGGCAAGTACGAGTAGTAGAAAAGCAGTGTTTTTCTTACAGATATGCTGAATTAAATTGAAAATGTAAACATTTAGTTGGAATTACAGATTGTAAGTAGACAGGAAATGTATATCTAATGGATTTTTCCTTAGCTGCCAAAGATTAAACTTTAAAATGATAGATTCTATCATTTGCAAGCTTATTATATGAAATGAAATTGTATTTGTTGTTGTTGTTGTTGTTGTTTGTAGCCTTAAAGTGGAATTCCATTTGGTTGGATTTTTGCTATACTACAGCTGGAAATAATTTATTTTAAAACCAAAATAACATAGGGTTATAATGTTTTTCTTTTTAAAAACACCTTTCTAGATAAAAACTTTGACGATGAAGAATCAGTGGATGGAAATAGGCCATCTGCAACTGCCTCAGGTTTCAAGGTCCCTACACCTAAAAAACCTGGAAATCCTTCAAATACAACAAGAAAGCCAGGATCTGCTGGTGGGCCGAAGGTTGTAGGTAAGGATAATTCAGACATCAGAATACTTTTATTTTGATTTAATCAGAATGATATTGAAGACCTTTAAACAATAATATATCCATTCATAACTGCAGTATTTTGCAAGTCAAAAAGTGTGAAATATCTTCAAAAGCTTAGGTCTTAGATGAAATAATGGTTTTCTATAATATAAATTATGTTACATTTTGAATGGATGCACTAGCTTTCTAAATCTTCGTGACTAGTAAGAAAAGCACACAATTAATTGCTATCATGTTAGAAATCATATGTTATGCAATTAATAAACATTGACATACTCCCATGTACAGAAATCTTCAAAATAAATAAAATAATCCTAATAATATATTAGAGAAAGGAAGAGAACCATAGAACAGACTATATGAAATCTGTCATAGAGGTAGAGACATAGATCATAAACAGGTTTTTTTAAAAAATACTTTCATGTTTCAGTAAATTATGAGTTGCAGGTGTTTGTTTATCTTCTTTTGAAATAGTTGAAAATAGAATTTGACAAAAATAGATATTTCCATTTCCAGATTATTTGACCCACAAAACTAATAACTAAATGCAACTCAGATGTAATACTCATAGGTGATACTGAATGTATATTTAGCATATATTAATCTGCCAGATAAAAATATTTATTCTCTCATCCAATTTGCTTTTTCAATGTAATTTTTAATAGTTGATGAAGGTGCATCATCATTTGAGTGGGGTATTACTCAGATGTTTTCAGGGTAAATCAAGAAGCATTTTAAAATAAGGTAAAAATGAATTTATGTTATTGGTGTTCATGTAAATATATGTTTTTCTGTATCTTGCCTTCTATTTACCTATCTACTAAACCTCAAATATTCTTTGTATAAGTCTGCAACAGCTATGTGTTTAACCAACATAAGGAAATGTTCTCACATTTGGATATATGTTAGGTAAGGCAATATAAGTGGCTTGGCATATTATTTATATTGTACATTATTTTGCTATTCTGCTGTTTTGGTTTTAGTATATTATGACAGTATTTAGCATATTATAAACTATGTATTATGACAAAATAAAATTCTTTTCCAATGAAGCGTTCTCTAAATATATTGTATTACAATTCCTATAATCATTTCTTAGTAAAGTTTGAACCACTGGAAAAAAATTGTCTGCATTATCTGTGCACATAAATGCAGGAAAAATAAATTTATTTTTCCCTTAAAAATTACTGATGAGAAATAGTAGTCTAGAGAACACAAGAAGTTCTAAGGTTGCAAAAGTTGTAAAGCTGTTTCTAAAACTTTGCCCATGTCTTTGTGGATTCAGTCTCTAAATAAACAAAATATGCTCAAAAGTATGTATATAAGATAAAAGAGCCTCAGTGGTGCAATGGACTAAAGTGCTGTTAAGTGCTAGCACTTAGCTGCCAGCTGCCTGCAATTAGTGCAAGTTCGAATCTCACCAGGCTCAAGATTGACTCAGGCTTCCATCCTTTCGAAGTAGGTAAATTGAGGACCCGGATTGTGGGGGCAATAAGCCAACTTTGTATAGAACAAACACAGCTTGGGAGGGGGGGGAGACAAAAGCCCTAATAAGCAGGTATATACAAAAAAGTATGCAGGCTATTGCTATAATGCATTGTAAGCCACCCTGAGTCTACGGAGAAAGGCGGCATATAAATTAGACTAATAAATAAGTAGACTAATAAATATGAAAACTGTTTATTTTTCTGAGCTTATTTTCACTATTAAGCTATTTTCATGCTATTTATGTGTATGGAATGAAATTTTCATCTGTAAACATAGAAAAGTCTCATGATTGTTTACAATTTTAGGAAAAGATGGACAATTGAATCAACTCGTTGGAAGTTAAATATAGGAGCTAAATAATGTTGGTGTAAGGTAAATTATAGTAACTAGATTAAATTGCCACATCTGTATTTTTGAGGCAACATCAGGAAATTGTTTTTGCTAAACATTCAGTTTAGAATTTTTCTTAAGATTGTCAGAGAATAAACACTTTATATATTCTAACAGTGAAGTGACTGAGGAGATTGAGGGTTTCGCCAAGCGGAGGATGGGGCCTCTTCTTCATCCCTTCAGGCAGCGTCCATGTCCTCATCGTGCCAGGCAGATGCGTTGGGGTGTGGCAGTATGGGTCAGGTATGGGTCCTGAGGGAGGGGAAACCCATCCCTGCGGCTGCCAGCGGCCATGCCACTGGTGGCCATGGCTTTCCAGTGCAAGGATGGTGGTACCAGTGATAGGGAAGCCTTGTGGACTTTGAGGCCAGGCCAGTGAGCAGGGCATGGAAGCTTGTCATGGCTCTGTGAGAGCCTGAGTCTGCGGAGGACGACGAGCCAGAACTGGGGCCAACGGAGAGTGAGGGGGTATCGTTTGCTTTGGAGGAACTTGGGGAGGAGCAGAATGAGGCAGCCCCAGGTCCCTCGGGATTGGGACAGCTTGCCAGCAGAAAGGAACGACTGGAATGACCGAGAGACGGGGTAAAAAAGGGCAGACAGTGGAGATGAGGAGCGATGGAGCTCAGGCAATGAGCAAGGACCTCCCCCTCCTGATCCCCAAGCACAGAGAGTGGAGAGAAGGCAGGAACAGTGCAGGCTGACCTCAGGAGGAGAGTGCCACACCCCTCTTCACAAGGCACACCTGGGGACGGAGACTTGAGATGCTGTGGGGAGGGACACTTGTCGGGAACAAGCACTGAATTAATGGAGTTTTGTGTGCTATTGCCGACGTCTGGAATTCGCTGGACTTCTTGCCTTATTGCTGCCTTGTTCCTTTGCTTCGTTGGACTCAATGCCTTGTTCCTTTGCCTCGGTAGACTTCGTGCCTTGAAGCCGTTGTGCTAACAGTGTTTTGCTGGATTACTCACAGCCAGAAACTGCTGGAGGTGTGTGTGGGCGCTCCAGGACTTGCCAGAAACACATGAGCATTTGGGGGAAAGTTGGAGCAATAAAGGGGAGTTTGAACTATCAACTGGCTGTATTGCCTCCGTGCCTTGCCCCGGGTCATCACAGCTCAGGTGTGGGCGTGGCACTGATCTATTCTACAACCTGGTGGTGGACATCTGGGCCAGAACATGGTTAGCCTTAGATCTGACTCACGGGGCTGCCCTGGAGCCAGCAACAGGCTGCCTCGCCCTTGCCTGCCCCCCCCCCCCAGGCATGCACACAGGAGGCAGTGAGTGCACTACCGGTGGCGTGCTGGATGAAAGAGAAACCCTCAGAATGCAGTCAGCCTGTGGGGCAAGACAGTCCCCAGAGATGCCAGGCTCCATACGCTCGCTCCTGTGCTCACCCAGGGTTGGGGCGAGAGTTTGAGTTTGACATGTCTGAATTAAACAAATGGTTGTAAGTTAAAAACTATCTGTATCTGTCCTCCAACCTCCCAGAAAAGTCTCCCACAAATCTATTCCAGGCGATTCTCTTTCCCTCAAGTATAGATTTTCTGACCTTATACGAAGAGCATGAAATCTCCATTCTTCCAATTCATCAATGAAAATATTTTGGACATCAATATTTAGCATTTTCAGACAAAACTGAGCATCTTTACATATTGAATCATTTTCTTTTATATCGTATATACTCGTGTATAAGCCGAGTTTTTCAGTATATTTTTATGCTGAAAAAGCCCCCCTCGACTTATACTTGAGTGAGGTTGCCGGGACGGAAGTGGACCCGTTCCAGACAGCCATGGCAATTCTGCTCAGGGAGCCAGCAGAGAGAGAGAGAGAGAGAGAGAGATGCAGGCAGGGGTGGGGAGGAGAGAACCAAAAGCTTGTGCGCCAAGATCGAAGGCGCTGCTAGAAATTGGCTGCCAGTTCTCGGGGAAGAAATTAAAAAAAACACTATTATAGCTCCGCCTCTGAACCGCCGGGGAGTAAGGGCAGAGGAACAACCGCTTTGACTGCTCACCCTCAATTTGTCACTCTGCGCAGCGTCACGGAAAAACGCAGCTGCGGGGCAGGAAAGTCCACCAGACTGGCGAGGGCGGGATGGTGGCGTAGGCTTCAAAGGCTTCTTCTCCCCCACCTCAAGACTTGCCCCTATCTCTCGCACCCTTGGTGGGGAGGCTTTGTAGCCTTACTATGCATTTTAAGTGTATTCGCAAAGGAGACGGGCTCGTTCATATGCGCAATCACACATATTACACACCAGGCGCCTCTTTCCTTTTGGTGGAGGAGGGAAGAAATTCAACTTCAGCCTCCTGGTGTGGCGCGGGGCTTTGGGCAAAGGCTGGGGGGAAGGGCCTCTGGCTTGCTTGCTCTCTCTCCCTCTTCAGTCTAGATTGATGCAGGCAGAAGCTCACATTTCCCTTTCCAAGGCCGCTATCGGAGAAGCTGGGCACCAGTGAGGGTTGGCTTTTTGCTTAGCTTTGTCCGGTTGTTTGGGGGGGGAAATGGACAGGGGCCTGGGGAGGAAGCCATGCTCCCCCGACAGCTGGACAAAACTATGCAAAAAGCCAGGCCTCACCGGCTTCTCCGACAGCGGGCTTGCAAAAGGCAGTGTGGCTCCACCTGCAATCATGCTAGACTGCGGAGGGGGAACACAAGCGAGCACTGAGGAGACCGCGGGAGGGAAGCCAGGCAAAGGGCGAGCCTCTCCTCTCACCCCATTAGCCAGCCTGCCAGCAGGGGGTGAATTGGTGGGCTTTATTACGTTCTAGGCATTTCCCACCTGAACGGCACGCCGCATTTCAATGGGGGAAGGTGTTTGGGGAAGGCAATGGAGGAATGGGGGGGTGGCATTGCCAAATGAGGAGCAGCACTGGCAGACTTTCTAAGCCTAAAGCAGAGAGGGAAGGAGGGTGGAAGAGAGATATCCAATCCAACCTCTGTGTCTGAGAGAGAGAGGGAGGGAGAGGGAGAGAGATGTGGCTTCTTGGGGATACATTTTGGAGAAGTGTCAAGAGAAATACTAAAAGGGCAAGAAAAGAAAGAAAGAAAAAGAGAAAGAAAGAAAGAAGGAAAAGGAAGAGAGAGAGAGAGAGAGAGAAAAGAAAGAAA